CAGGAAAGAACGAGATGCCCCCCGCACCCCCCCAGCCGTGATGTCATGAAAATGAAAAATTATGGTGCACCTGCTGCGTACTACTGAGGAGGGACGTGCAGAGAGTTGGGCAGGGGCTCAAATGTAAAAAAAGGGGCATCGCCCTACAATTGCACCTACAGTGGGAGGTGAATGCTTAACATAAAACTTTGCGCGTTGCATTAATATTCTACCTTATATTCCTAACTTATCTGTTGGCAGATCAAGAATGCCACCAAATTATAATTGCCTGCATTCTCCACCATTAACTGTAGAGGAATGACAGTTAAACCCCATAGAGAAACTAATATGCTCAATGAAGACCAGTGTTAATTTCGTCATAATTTTCGTCAACGACATTTTTTTCACAGACGAAAACGTGACGATAACTAAATAAAAACTCCTTTTAAATGACAAAAACAACGACGGAAACCTATTGACATTGTTGTCAATGAATAAAAACAACACAAAAATGTTAGGGAGGGACGATTGGGAAGAGATCCAGTCAGAACGAATGCGCGGAAGAGGGTAGATGGGCACATTTGAACTGCAACATACACACTTGCTGCACATCTCATAAAACGTAAAAAAATGTCAGCGTCTGGAAGTAAGAGAAGAGCAGACAAATGGATACATTTGAAAAGCATGACGACGCGAAATACACACAAAATGATGTCAAATGATCCGTTTTGACAAGCATTCACATAAACACACCTGGTTATATCTTAAGTCAGGGGTGTCCAAACTCTGGTCCTAGAGGGCCGCTGTCCTGCAAAGTTTAGCTCCAACCAGCGCCAAAACACCTGCATGGAAGTTTTTAGTATGGCTAGTTAGACCTTGATTAGCTAGTTCAAGTGTGTTTAATTGGGGTTGGAGCTAAATTTAGAGAAGCACTCAATAAGTGTGATTATTCTTTCTGCCATTTAGTGAAACACGGCTCACGTCATTTGGACATGGGGATACGGGCGACCCGCACCATATAAAATTAAAACACATTTTATAGTAAGCTATCATGAGTACAGTCTTCATCTGATGTGAGTATATGTCATTCAGATGACTCTTCTTATTTATTAATGTATCCACCTTAGTTTTCCTGTAAGAGTGGGCAAGGCCATTTGTAAATTTTATGGGTCTGGCTTCCGGTGCCATTTGCTTCCAGCTATTTTTAGCTGTACAAAATAGCTTGTTCTGCTGCTTGATATTGCAAATTGGTGTCTTACCATTATTTTAATGTATTATCTGAATTATGAACACACTGGTTTGTAGTGCAAACAGTCTTACCGTTTACTGCATGTTGTCTTGCACATTCACAAAAAACAGCTTACTTCCACGTTGAAAAATAAGGTGGATAGTGAAGGGGTGGATTTCCAATCTGGTATTTTGTTACAGGCGATGTCTGTATTTGGTATCTGAGAGGTGACTGAAGGTCTGACCCATGTCAGGAATGCAGTAGCTAACAGTGTTTAATCATATAGCCCAGCTTTCATAAAATAAATCTGAATCATTATATAATTAAATGCTATATTTTATATAAAGAGAGTTGTTAGTTTGAACTTTGTTCCTTTTTATTTTGTTGAACATTGTGAATGTTTATTTATTCTGTGGTTCTCATGATAGCTGTATGAAACATGTAAAGACCAACTGTGCCTAGGGCCATAAAGGTCACTAACGCTCCACATTTATCACTAGCCCATATGTACGCTTAGCATTTGTAATTCTTTTTATGGTTTATAGCACCATTAGTTGATGTTAAACTATGACAGTAAAGCATGTGTAGAAGTTTGTATCTGTGCTCTATATTGTTCTGTTCAAGTAATGTGCTGCACTTCAACCTTAATGGGAAAAGATATTGTTTTATCTAATGGTGTATTTGCAGGGGTTGTTTAAGAATATGATAGGCGTGTGACCATGCCAAAGGACAGTCTCCAGGAGAATCAACAGCTGCCCAGATGAGAAGATTAATGACTCACCTACGACCCTTACAATAGTTGCTTACAAACGGAACTTAGTGTTGCCAAGATACTGTCTTTAAATAATTTACGTGAAGAAAACAACACCATGTTTGGATGTTGCTAGAATTATCTATACTGCTAACCTATCAGAACCTGTAGAAGTGTTGTAAATTGATCATCCTGAAGGATCTAAGGATTCTTTGTAGCAACTTGTGTGTGTCACTTAAAGAGAGCAACCAAACATTTGTGTTTTTACTTTCTTTCTTTTATTTTTTATTCATTCATTCATTCTATTCTAAGTTAGTTCAAGGCTGGATCCTCTTACTCATTTTCAATGGCCTTTGGAAATGTGGAGAACTCTCTGTCAACTGAATGTACTGCAAATTTGACTCCTGGTCTTCATCAGTGTTAATTTCGTCATAATTTTCGTCAACAACATTTTTTTTCACAGACGAAAACGTGACGATAACGAAATAAAAACTCTTTTTAAGTGACAAAAACAATCATGAAAATCTATTGACACTTTTGTCAATGAATAAAAACGAGACGAAAATGTTAGGGAAGGATGACATGTTAGTCAAAATGGACAATTTGACATCATTTTGTGTTTATTTCTCCGTTAAGACACGAAAGAGAACTGAATTCAGTAGTCGTGCGCTGTTTGAGAAGTGCTTTTCTGTGTGCACTCAGAAAACCGGACCAAAACTTTTTCGCGTCGTCACACTTTTCAAATGTATCCATATGTCTGCTTTTCTCTTACTTCCAGACACTGACATTTTTAAACATTTTATGAGATGTGCAGCAAGTGTATGTAAGTGTATGCTGCAGTTCAAATGTGCGCATCTACCCTCTTCCGCGCAGGAGATTCGTTCTGACTGGATCTCTTCCCAAATACCAATCATTCCTCCCTAACATTTTCGTCTCGCTTTTATTCATTGACGAAAATGTCAATAGATTTTTGTCATTGTTTTTGTCATTCAAAAAGAGTTTTTATTTCGTTATCATCTCGTTTTTGTCTGAAAAAATATTAAATAATATTAAATGAAGGATGCAAAACGAAGGCTGCCTTCAAAGGATCCTTCTGATTGAAAAGGCCTTCAGCGATATTTAATGACGTGGCAGACGAGCTGCAGCCTTCAGCCTTCCGTTTGAGAAGCACCCTTTGGCTGCCGCATCTGTAGATACGCAGCATACGCTAGTAGCGCAGTGTTGTTTGGAGACACAAAGAGCAGCAATGGAGCATGCTTCTAAAAGTGCTTTATCAGCGAAGACAACAGGAGAACCAGTTCCTGTACGATCGAAGAAACAGAATAGGTCCAAAGCCAGAAGACAAGGAAACCCACATAGACAAAAAATGAGCGTAAACGTTGCCTACGCCATACACAAGATGGAAAGATTTGATGACGGAGAAAATCCTGAGATAGGGCTGCACGATTAATCAAATGCGATTGTCATGCGCATCTTGTCAGTAAAGCCGGTTCTGTAATCAGTAGTAAATCTCCATCACATGCTTTCAGTAGGAGCAGCATTTACTACACAGAGCATTTTTCAATTTCTGTGCCTGAACATCTACAAACATAAAAACCTAAAGCATCATTTAATTTCTATCTTTGTGCTATAGGCCTATATAAATTGTGCTATTACTTGTAATTTGTTCATTTGTTATTATTTACTGGCTGTCACTCGTCTTTAATAATGTTTAAACTTTATATTTATGTTTATTTTTGGCTAGTGATTTTTGCAGTGGTATCGGAATTGAAATAGAGAATTGTAAAATTTAATTGGTATCTAAAATATTGGTGTCATATAAGCTTATTTATTAGAATACAAAATTGTAACAATGATAACAGCAAATATTTTATTTTTTGTGGCAGGGCCAGTGAAAATGTTGGCAGGGCAAGTAAAAATTTGAACCACTGTGATGAAACTATGGCTCCATGTGCTTTTTAAAACCATTTTCATAGGTTTAATGTTATAGTATCGGCTTGGAAAATACGTTAATTTGACTAGAAACACCAGAGACCGGAAATGTAAAGCATCGTTTCAGTCAGGCGAGACTTCCGCGTTCAGGAAAAAGTTGGATAGACGAAAATAATTTGGCAGCGGTGGGATTCGAACCCACGCCATCGAAATGACTGGAGCCTAAATCCAGCGCCTTAGACCACTCGGCCACGCTACCATTGAAACCTCATAGGTGACATATTATCCTTAAAATTAACACCTCAAAATCATAGTGACTTACAATAAACAAAAGCATTGATACAAATGGTATTGAACAGCTCTCGGCTCAATCGTTGATTTAATTATTTATTTTACATAAACTGCAAGTGTCATACGTTTCATAAAACTGAATCGTTAGAAACAAAACGTCTCGGAACAACTGTAAGCATTACATTTGGTGATGCTGACACTGGCAATAAAATGAATACCAAAAACACGAAAACATCCGCTCGGTTTGCAGACCACTAGAGCTGGATGAGCAGGTTTGTTCTTTATCACAGTGGCTACGTGCAGCTAGTCCTCACCAGTGTGGAGTCCTGCCCTGCCCCCAGAACATGCGATTCTACTATGGCGAAGGGCCCTCTCATGAATATTAATTACGTAACGTGCCGTTCACCTAGTGCGATCACTTGATTTGATTTTGGAATGTGGCGTTTTTGAATGCTGGGCTTTTGAATATTAATTTACAGGAAATGTTAGCACGGATAAATTAATATTCATGAGCCAAGCCCTTGTCTTAGTAGAATTCGTAATATTCCGCTGAGCTCGATAACAACATGAGGCTCCCCCATAAAAGGGCATGTGATTGATTATGGCCTTATGGCACATGGCTGTCTTTGAATAATAATCTGACATTTTATTCTTTATGCAAAATCTGTTTTTTTCCCCAATATTATATATATATTTGTTTATTTTTATATATTCAGATATTATTCAGACCTAATATTTCTCTGAAATGAAATGAACTGTAAGTACATGAATGTATTTTTAATAAAGCCAACTAGAGGGCTGAATATGCAGCATTGACGCTGTGCTGAGTTATGCGAGGTTGGACGAATCAACACAAGGGAACATTTGCTCGCAGGCCAGAACACGTACTGCGCATTTCTGCAGATGCACAGTAAACCTGTCACTGTCCAGTGTGCTTGAGACACAGCCGCAGCTGAAACTTCCCTTCAAACCTGTTTTTATACAGTCTATGGTTCAAACGCGCAATTCTTTGTTGAATTGGCTTCCTTTTTAGAAAGGGCGTGAAGGCGATTCGAGATAAGAGAGAGTATCTGTCTCCTGTTTTCGTTATGTCTTCATTCTAGCAGCTGTTCATTCAAACGTAAGGTATGTGACATGCACTTTCTTTCTTGTGGTCTGTACTGTTACCACCTTTGAGCTGTTATGTTATGATTTTTTTTTGTTTTGAACAATTATGCAACAAATTACATTAAATGTACATGTAAGCTTTAAATGAAGGACGTTGTAGCTTCAATGTATTAAAATAAAATGCTTTTGTCATCGCAAACTGATGTTTTGAGTATATTTGGCAGAACAACTATTTGACGGGACAATGGAATGCATGAACAGGAACAGGTTTTTCTCGGACTGACATTAACGAATAACGTTACCTTCACATTTGATCAGCACCGGTTCATCTAAAACAAAATCTGTTTGCATTTTTGTTCTGACAATGCATCTGCTGATGTAGCAGTATTTGACACTTATTCTAATGTGCTTGTTTGTAGTTTTGGTGCACAACACAGTGGGACATCATGGCTGAGGAGGAGCTCATGTTTAATATGGAGGAGGTGGGAAGTCCTCGGGATGGACCTAGATGTGCTAAGGGAAGAGTGGCTTTCCAAGATTCCAATGCAAGTGATGATGATGATGAAGATGATGATGAAGATTACCTCCGTATCTGCCCCATCACTGACGACCCCATAAGCCCAACCAAAGGCTTCTTTGACTACCCAAAGGACGTCTTTAGCAACCAGCAGCTTTCGAATTCATTGCCCAAAAACTCCTTCACATACAGGGTGAGTCTTTCCCAGTTAATCTACACTTTACTGTAAGCAATAATACAGTACAAGAGGTTGTGCTTGATTTTGAATATAGTCATGTGTCCAATACAGCACGACTTCCAGTGCCTTATTGCTTTTATAAAACTTTTACTACATAATAAAAAAATATTAAGGGCACAAACTTTCATTATAACCTTATTGTATTAAGCAGCCACATGAAGTAGCCTCTTCTTAGATAAATGTAGTCCCTAGCATGTAAACAAATGTTATTTTTGGACCAGCATACCACTATTTGTACTTTTTCTGTAGTACACAGCATGTTTATTGTGTGCAGTATCAGAATTTTTTGAGTGTATGGTACTTGCATAACATTTTTGCAAAAACATGCAGTATACAGCAACTGTATGCCACAATGCAATAGTGGTAAATGATTCTGAAACAACTTACATAGAAATGTATAATAGCTGTTTTTATTTTTGAATTACACGTTATTAATATAGTCATGTGACAACAATGTGGCATACTAGTGATTGAAACATACATCATTGCATAATGCACAATGTTTGACATACTATTTTATACTATTACAATAGCTACTATATTATACTATAACAATAGCTACATTTCGCGTAATAGATGCATACATTGTGTATGTATTTTAGCATGACTGTAATGCTGTAATGCTGTATCATTATCCCTGGAACTATCCATTTCATGATCGT